AGAGAGAGAGAGAGAGAGAGAGAGAGAGAGAGAGAGAGAAAAGAGAAAACGTTTTTATTTCAACGTCAACGAAAACGCATTATGATACGATCGTAATCGGAAATTAATTTATTAAGATTGTTTTTTCATATCATTCTACGTGACATTTACAATCTCGAGAGAGCTACGCGCTTTTAAATCACACACGAATTGCTCGCAATTTCGCACCGAGTGAATTAAATGAAAGGCAAATCTGCATGCATCCACAGATGTATTACAGACATATACGTAGTACACGTACAACGTATGGAGTGAACAACAAAGATCTACAGTCGAACTTCCGAGCGCGTGCATAGTTGTTCCGGCTGCACAGATGGAAGTTCGTGCGCGTCGTCAGTGAAATTGGCTGAAAACTTTTCGGCAATTTAGCATACGCGCACGAGTAATTCACTCGCGTTCGCCCCGCGTATTGACCTCGTGAAACGTGTGTGCAGTATCGCGAAAATACAACGAAATGTCGACGCTTGAAGCGCGATGGTCCGACATGCACAATACGGCGTCGAAAAATCGCGCTGCACACACATCGGTGCGCGACGCTACACCAATACTTTCCTCGCTTCCAATTGCGTCAACCGAGACACCGATAATGAATGAAATCACATGGGACGCATATAGCCCTGACGTGAGCCAATTAGCCGACTGTTTCGTTTTATTTCGTTTTGAAATGAGAGCATCGTCGGATGAAGTAGGCGAATCAACGAATTGCACTAAAACACGAAAGCGGATTGCGTTACAAATGAGAAGAAACTCGCTCGTCGAGCTCATCGATATCTCATGCCGCGTATTATCTTTGCCGTAAGCGACGTTCGAGAGTAACGGGATGTCTATAATTCGTATAAATAAAAATGATGTCAAGCTCGCGTTTTACGATTCGCCAAAAAGTATAAACTCGGACAAACAATGGATTTAATAGCGCGGAATGACCAGTGACCTTTTCGACCAGATTCCGCGATTCTACCCCTATTCGGGGCAGCGTTATAGATGATGGCGCTCGGCGTTGTAAACGTATAAAAACTCACGTCGTGAAAATATTTTTCCGGGACGGACGCGATGTCGCCGAGCTGCTTTCTTATGTTTACTTTACGCTGAAATTTAAGCTGTCGACACGTCCGGTGTTGAACTTCTCACGGTCGGTTCGATTTACAGCACCAGCGAATATAGTAGGTGTTATATGGAGGGTTTCGTGGACAGTAGTTAGACCGCTTCCCGTGTGAGAAAGGGATATAACGTGAGACGGAGAGATAGAGATAGAGAGAGAAAGAGGGAGAGAGAGAGAGAGAGAAATTGGTGGTCAGTCCCACTGGCTCGGCCCTAATAACCCAGGAACACGAAGACGAGTTATGACAGCCGGTGTTGTAGCCCCTTTAGTGGGCCGCAACTGCGTGGGCGACATGTGCCATTGTTCAAACAGTGCAGCCCAGCACCTTCTATCAGCACCGACCGTACCGTCCATTCTTTTCAAGGTGACGACCGCGCGAGAGGTACACGCTCGTCATTTATGTGATGACCCGGATACACGTCTTGGAAATAGTTCCAAAATGACTTCATCTCGCAAGCCAGTAATAATCGCGCGGGATCTAGTCGAAAGGTCACTCGTTATTCCGCGCTATTAAATCGATCGCGGTTGTTCCGAGCCGCTTGAATCCATATTTATGAGAGCGACAATAAATATTTCCTCGCGCGCGCAGCAAGTCGTTCTCTATTCGACTTATATCGTCGCTCGGACAATAAAATATATAATTTGATAATAGGAGCGTCGACATCCATAAAAAGAAAATTAAAACAGAACAATAAAGAATTAAGGATAAATCTGCAGAAAAGGCAATTCCTTCGTGACCGTATCCCCCGATCGAGCTACCGACGATTAAATCTGCAAACTGACTCGGAATCGCGGTCTTCATTGCTCCAATCTCGGTCATGAAGTAGGAATCTCTAACCCACCGCCATCTGAGTTAGGGTAGTTTGACGCGAGGTAGTAAAACGTGACTTTACTCTGGAAATAATATCGGCTATAAAGTCGGAGATAGCAAGGTAACCAATGTCTGTTCGAAAAGTCAATTCCGGCCGCGTTTTAACCTGATAGAAAATCTTGCGGCATTTGGCAATATCTCGCAAATCACTACGCTGTTTTTCGCAATGTAACGTAAATACTCGATCTCTTACAAGTTTTGCAAATGGCAATGTATACGCTACGCATAAATTATATAACGCGTGAGTGTAATATCGGCTCTAAGGAGGGAGGGGGGGGGGATGTCGTTAATCGACTGTCGCGATGACACGCGTTCAGGAATTTAACTTCCACCCGCTGTTGTATGAATCCTCGAAGGAAGTGCAAGCGTCTAATCTTCCATCTGGCTCAGCACTGAATGAATAACAACACCTGATTGATGTTGCAGCATTAGTAGCCGACGGTGATCATAAATAAGAGCGTTGTAAGCTTACGGTGTAACTTTACCGCGGCATTTCGCTCGCAGATTACTGCGCGGCACTACTATATTACTTATCCATTTAATGCAAAAATTAATTTTACAGCTTTTTCTCCGGTCGAGATTGCGTTATTTATTAAAGAAAATACGTAGGATTAATGCTCTACGTTCTGTTATCTAATTAATTTTTTCTTATTAAAACAGTACTACTTTACGTTTGGCGCAAAAAAAAAAAAAAATAATTCAGTCCCTGCAGTATTTTTACGTCCGACATTTTAAGACTTGCTCCATTAGTAACTTCGAACAAAAAAAAGAAATTCGTTTCACCGTTCGTTCAATACGGACTCGGCGGAATCGCCGAATGGGAGTGTCTAATACGCACCTGCTCTCTACATCGGCAGTACGGCCGTTTTATTAGCAGAACGGTCGTAATTCCAGTCCGGAGTTAGTATTACACGAACGTGCTCCGAATGAAGTAAAATCTTCGCGTATTGACGCACGATAAATAATCCGCGGGGCCGGCGCGCGCCGCGCCATTATTCCGTGACCGTAATACATCGTGTGCATATATCGTAATATAATTTGCATTAAATCGCGACTACTTTCTGCATTGAAGTTAAGCACTGCAGCATCAAATGCAATCGCTGCTAATTTACAATTCCATTGCATTTACCTTCATAATCAGCATTGTCGCGCTCCTATGCAGCTACATTCGAATTATTAATACATTTTTCGGCTGTCGAAACAGCGTTGAAATTTCGGTGTTACTGCAGCAACTCGGTTTTGTTGTAAGCAAAATCGAGCCCGATTCGAATAAAGATTTGATATAAAGCGTAAAAATACATGACACACCCTCGGATAGAACGACGCATTTATGATGATCCGTGATAGCACTGAAACATTAAAGACCTTAAATTGGAGCCGGTTGATTAAGTTATGGAACTCACGTCACATACTTCAAGGGTTAGAAATATTTAATTTCTCGCTTCCCGGATCATTTAATGCTGCTCTATCCTCTCGCCTCTGCCAGGTCACGTGGCGGCCTCCAAACGTGATATAATTATCAGTCCATCTTCGGGGTATCCACCTCTGTCTAAGCACTGCTAGAGGCCGGAACCCAAATTGAATCAATCAAGCTTGTATCTGAGCACGTATGTTGCTAATCGAATCGATTCATGTTTCGCCTATACAGAATTTCAACTATCTATACCAAAGGATTCATTCGTCTGTACGTACACACGCGTATATGTACAGCGCGCGGACACACGTGTGCTAATGATTATTGTGCAAAGGTATAACCATAACCACAGAACAATAGCGTTCGCGCTAGTGTATGGAATAGGTACTGATTCATCCGCATACGACAATTAATAATACGCAATCTTTAAGAATTGTATATATTATACAAAAAATTATACATATACACGTATGTATTATATATTAACATAATTATATGTAATACTTTAATATAATTACATGTATATGTATTACATATATTATTACATATATATACCATATAAAATTATTAATGATACATATACATGTAATTATATTAAAGTATTACATATAATTATGTTAATATATAATACATACGTGTATATGTATAATTTTTTGTATGATATATACAATTCTTAAAGATATATATATATATATATATATATATATATATATATACTACTATAATATTTATTATCTTTGCGAGTGAGTTTGTTTCCCAATTAACACGTTACACTGACAAACGTATGTTTCTTTATATTGCAGGTGATGAGAGCGATACATTGCGGGGGTTAAAGTGCCTGTCGAGAACGGCGAGGAAGTGGCGAGGTTCGTAAAAATTGGCATCGGGGGCGTACGATCCGGGCAGCGGTAGTGGTGGCGGAGCGGCAGGGGTGAGCAGATTTCATTTACGTCAATAAGACAATAAAGTAGAATAAAATCGGATAAGTCAGAGTCAAATCTTGTTTAAAGATCGCCAAGCATTGACTATCTAGACTCCGACTTTTTTTCGTAAAGAGATAGATATCCGGGTAATCCAATGTTTTACCGTTATATAGTATAATGTCTTACTTTTATATACAACTTATTCATATTAGCTCAAACATAACTCTTATACATTTAACGTTTTACGCATATTGATGCTTCCAAGAATTATTAAATCATTAAGTCTAAAGTATACAAATCGGATTCAAAAATTTTCGAAAGGAATTAAGATTAAAATTTATCTCAATAAATTTTTTTTAATATAGAAGGATCCACGAATTTTTGTGAGATAAAATTTGATCATCAGCCAGATGCTTATCGCGACATCTGATACGCGTTGCATAAATTCGCATTCGTTCGTTATTAACTGTCACTTTGTGACATATCCGCGTCTCTCTGCAGCGTGCTACAGTTTATTATAAGACGGTTTCTTATTCGCCACGGGTACTTCTGGCTTGTATGACATATTGAGCGACATGTTATTTATCGGCTATAGCTCACTCTCCGCGGGGAGATCGGCCGGTGATTGTTACCGCCGCATGTGCTATAGCTGTAATGCGGACGTCGACCGTTTATACCCGCAGGTACTATGGGAGCGGGGGTATGGGGGGCGGAGGAGGGCTACAAGCCACGGACCTCCGGCGAAGGCTCGAGTTCCAGTGTACCGGAGGAACTTGTTCGCAGGCTCTGCGGTCCCTAAGGCACGACAGCTACCATGCTACCGAGGAGAACGCCGCGTGTGACGACTACGAGGACAGGTAACTGATCACGGATGTCGCGCCGAGGACACGCGGTCCATTTCTCCAGCGGTCAAATCTGCTTTGCACATTTCCCTTGAGGTTATTTTTTAGACATAGCATGCAACGTGTGCAAAATGAAAAAAAAAAAGTAAAATAAATTTTTTTTAAAATTAATATCTATGACATTCTACATACAGATAAGAAAAAAATGATAGGGAAACATAAAACTTTTAAAACTTGTGCTAGAAGATCAGTATAAAGAATTAATATCTAATTGGAGATCAATAAAATGAGATATAAGTGCTGAGGCGAAATCGCTTATATATAGTGAAAGAACGACTTCCACTTAGGAGGACTGACCACGAAGCGATCCTCGCTTCCGGTCAGCCTACCTGCACAGGCTGCCGGCGATCGTATAGGCGCCAGGAGAGCGAAGAGGTTGAGAAAAAGGAGACTCTGAAGCGACGCATGCCCGAATCGGATGAGATCGGTGCGGTGTACCGGAAGCTGCGGCTTTGCCTGGGCCTTTTCGAGCACGCGAGTAAAAACGATGAGACGGAAGAGGACGACGAGAAGAAGAGGCATCGGTTACGGTGGTGTCGCAGGGGCTTCCGACGAATCGTGGAAGTGGCGACAAGAGCTCTGCTCCTTGGCATCGCGCTTCTCGTCACGCCAGGCAAGTGATTTTAATTTCTTAGTGCTTCTCTATCTCATAAATGACACAGATATTAAAACAACGTTATCGGAAATATATTTATACAAAATTTCTTTCTTTCGCGAGGCGAATTGGAAAGAACTCGTTTCAGAAATTTCTATTCAAGCAGCTTAAAAACTGCGTAGAATAAAAATTGAGAATCTCGTATTTTTTCTTGATAACTTAGTTGCTAATACCGAGAGCTGTTACTATTATTGCGTTACAACTTCGGTACCATGATAACGCGAGGTCCTGTCGCATTCGGGAATCTCTTCATTTGTCCGCCAGTGCAATCACGCCAGTCTCGCGTTCGTCCCTCAATTAGCGGGGACCGCAAATTAGAGTTCACTAGTTGGCGGGACGTCCGAATGGTCGGTAATGCCGTGGCACCGTATCTCACGAAACGGGTCGTTGATTCTCAAATCCGGCGGACCATAGGCAGACACCAGAATGGAGGGCTTGCGGCTCGTAATGGGACGTCGACGGAGATCGACAAATGAAGCGAAATAAGCTGGCCACGTGATCAGATAATGGGTATCGGGCGAGAGAATGCCAAGTGCTTGATCTCCTTAAGTCGGGGGAAGACGAAGCGAGAGGCGCGAGATAAGCTCAATTTTCGCGACTGTCTTAACTCGCGAAAGTAACTGTACGTTCGTGAAACATCGCTTTGCGAAGGGAACCTAACTAAATACGTCGCAAGCTTAAGGGATCAAGTTACAAAAAAAAGCTCGTATATCTTAATCACAGCTGCGTTTTCAGAAGGGTTATCCTTTTGACTGAGCACAAACATTCATTCCCAGGCCATTTTCTTTTGTTTGTAATGTAAAAAAAAAACGATATGCGCTATTACTGATGATTGACAAATGATTCCTTTTAGACTCGGTGACAACGTAATCACGCGGGAGTTTAACTCGTTACAATTTTCAATCGACGACAGACGCAGACGCTAGTTAGATCGTGGACCTTTTTCTCGCAATCACAAATATTCCCTTTTGACGTCACATAGCGATTTGCGCGTTTCAATCCGAAAGAATTTCCCGTTGCAAATCAAAGCGGCGTGAATGCACAGCTAAAAAGAGAGACTGAGTCTTTTATCAGTACTTTGTGAGTTTGTTTCGATGCGCGTGGCAGCTTGGCTGTGTTCGACGGAAAATTCTCAATCAAATGCGAGATGCAATTATAGCTGCAACACGCGAGAGGCTATAGATAGTAATATCAGTTTCAACGATATATATAATAATGATATTTACATACTTTTGCAAATTCTGCAGTGTTTTGAAATACGCGCTGCTTGCAAATCATTAATTTATAGATTCAGATCCCCTGCAAGGGAAGTTGAATTGTACGTTGAATCACGAAATCGTCATGAAAATTGGAATTTAAATAAAACAAGTATATTTAGTTTTAGAGCATAAAACTATAGAGCTATGCTTTTACACGCGGATCGCGTTTTGTTTTTACAATTATTCCGGCTGAAGTAACACTTTAAACCACGGAAACCTTAATCACGCCGTTGTAATGAGATTACTGACGAGTAAAAAAATAAAAATGCGCGCAACACGCCTGCGTTTCAAAAATTTTTTTTTAAGCGTACGCACATTACACGAGAACCCTTATGACGCTCGTTACTCTCATCAGTATGAACAATTTCATTAAAAACTCCGGTCGCTCTCACGAAGCCTTATTCAAAATGTATGCTTGACTGCATTAACAGCACGTGTGTGACGGTAATATGAAAACGTGTATTATTTTGTAATTTAAATACACATGATTTTACTACTCAAAATATAAATATGTTGAATATATGTATATATTAATTACAACACGCATATATTTTATGTATGTGTATGTGCAACTAGTTATTAATTACAACAATTGCAATGAATGTTTATTCGAGGAGCATGATTTCTTTTTTATTTTTCCGCGACGCGGAATACTTGTTATCGAACATTGCGACAGTACATTTCAGATGAAATGTTGCGCATGGGGAACGGCAAAACGTATATTAAATGTGTAAGTACGCGCTGGTTGGAATACAGTTGGAAACGCTTATCATAAATAAAGTAAATATCGGGACGGTGTCGCTTATGAAGTGTCGTTTTTAATCAAAATCAAACGTTTCAATTAATAATGCCGCGGTTATTCCACGGTGGGCTTCATTAATTTTCGCGGCTATGGTATGTACATTTTACGCACATATTATATATAGGCGAAATAAAATTTGCGACGCGTGCATATAATATCGGAGTAAACCATTTAAAATATCTGAAATGAAATAATTGAAACGGCACACGCATTTTTGTACGGATTCCCTTAATTAAATTTTGCACCATTCTCGGGTCTGTACATTACAGTGTTATTAACGTGTCTATATGTTTAATTGATTTTTGATTGTGTCCCGGCGCTATGTTTAAGAATAACGTGTTGCAGTATTATCGTGAGATCGTAACGTCGAAACGCGAAACGTGCGAGTGTGGGGACAACAAACTCCCTTGCCCTTTTAAGGACTTCGTGATCATATTAGCGATAAATTCCCCTTTAGTGTACAATAGCGTGTTCCTAACCCGAGTAGAACACATAACTCTATAAATCTCACGTACTTCGTGTCTCTGTACGTGGTATGCCTTATGGGGATGGGCGATTACGATTTTCTTCCTCATAGCGACCATCAAAGCGTCGCGAATGACCGGGCCATGAAACTCGTTACAAATGACGCGGAGAGAGTACCGGCCTGGAGGATATGTTGCCCTTGATAGAAACCGTTGCGCGCGAGAAAACCGCGAACCGATCGATCGTCAGGCCTCAAGATGACACTCGACGACAGTACGATCGGCCATGATCGACATTTCGTAATGTTGTCGTCGGCAGACAATATGTGGAGCACCGAGATCCCGCGACGATAATACTCGTGTTTTCACGCGAATGACGCACGATGTGCAGCGGTTGCACGGAGAGGTTCTTCGCATCGTTGTCCGCATCGCATTTGCATTCTCCCCCC